TGTTGACACCTTGAGTAGGCCGCCGTCACCCATTTCGTCTCAGCAATTGACGGACAGTAGGTGTAAGTTGTCTCTTTAACGGTTAGTTAAAAACACTATGCCACGAAACATTAGTCTTTGTACTTCAAAACTGCTGTCAAAACACAAGAGAAATTTTGGGAGCCATCCAAGTACCCGCGACTTAGCCGAATCGCGACTTACCGAGGCGCGACTTAGCGAGGGGCCACTGTATTGATAAGAAACACCGCAATATTCTTAAAAAAGAAGGTATTCATTTGAATGATTGTATTTGTATTCTAAATATATTGACTTATCAATCAGACAGACAGAGCCGTACAAGACACAAACATGATATGACCTGTGAGAGAATAATTAAAAAACCCATTGACATATATCAAAAAATAAGAGTACGCACTTTGACACCGTATTGCAAGTTAAGATGTACATGGAATACTTGTTTAAGAAACTAAATGATGTATGATAGTGATTGAAAATAAGCAAAATTTAAGAACACCTGTCTTGTTGTATTTCTAGTTCCACCTTTCCATAATCGAGTTTTCAATTTCATCAAATCTCCATTAAAGTGTGTGTTTACACTGAGCCTGCTCTAGCACCTTCTTTTTGCTCACAAAAAAACGCAAACCAGATACCATTTAAAAAGCGTCCTGACTGTATATTGTTCAATTTAAACTAGACTTCTTATTCAAGTTGTATGTGTAACATTACAATGAAAAAATGGATACAAACAAATAAATAGGAAACAAATAAATTAAACTCAAATACCAAAACAGTTGAAATTATTTTAATCACCTTGAACTGTACATTTACAATTTCTGTATGTCTATTGAAACAAATAAACATTTTAGCTAAACAATACAACTGTGATATTAAAAAAAGATATCCTGCTCTTACTTGCCTATTTCCTCTAGGAGGGGGTAATGGCATGTCTCATTCCTGTAAATGACTTTTAATGACAACCAAAGTCTCTCGCCTCACACTCTATTTTTTTTTTTACAAACCTAGCATATTTTCAGGCCTTTTTATACTCTTATTCTACAGTTAATTCCTTTTATCTGTCCACAATATCATTATGCTTTAACGAGGAATTGTACCACACACATTTGCGAAGTTAGAAGGCAACATGTAACTTTTAGCCGAGGTAAGCGGACTTCGGAACGACGATCTTTTTTTCCGTTTCGGAAATGCACTCAATACCATAGCATCCTAAACATTCAAAACTTGTTGATTGCGATCCAATAGAACTATTCTCTGGGCATAAACATTGTCAACCAGATTAAAATATATCTCCATTCGCGATCGTTGATTACTTGCATATTGTTATGCTGAAATATAAACACCCATGTAGTTTTCAGTTATGGGTTTGACATTCAAATTCTCAATCAGTTTAGTACTCCTTCTTGTAAAGTCAAAATTTAGTATTGGTGTACGTATGCGTTTCAACATGTCTCTACTGGTTAAATTCAAGAATTGATGATACAAATCAATTGAGTGGTAACGATGCATGTAATCATTTCTGTAGAATGAGGGCGCACACGGCTTTGTTTTACAAATCAGGTTCAAAATATTTGACATATTTTTTAGGATCTGTTGTTCTAGAACCCTATATCTTGTATTCTTTGTCTGATTGCAATCAAACTTGACATCTACATTATACATCGTGTTACACATAATGACATGTTAAAGTTCTGATTCGAATTGATTGACTCGTATATGTCAAGACTTAGTGCAACTGGATTTGAGAATTTTGTTCGAATGTGGAACATAACTAGTGGATCAAGCCGTTTTGACATCCAGATAAATTGACATTGTAAAATTAGAACTATGTTTTACGTGATGTAATGCTACAGTAAAATTTTGAAATTCACTCCCCCTCTCACAACTACTTAATATGTACTCTGGTAAGTGTGTGTGTGTGTGATTAATCAGGCCACATGACAGGTATACAAAATATATAGATCAGGCATAAATTATACACATGTTATATATCTGAATATTCGGTATTGAAATTGCTAACTGTTTCATATCCCATACTAAAATATTAATGGATGTTTCTGGTCGTTTAGTTCAATAATTGATAATTTAATAATAATAATAATAATTTATGTATAATATAAGTAAATTCCTTACTATTATCTATTTATGACAAATTATTGAACTGTTATACACCACAAAATAATTTCTATCAATAGCTTGCTATCCACACACCTTAGTAAGGTTGGAAATAAATTTGTAAAAACAAATCTTTTGTTATCTGGCCATGAATCAGAATTAGTTCTCATTAGTTCTCAGGAAAGCGTGCTATTTGTAGGTAGAAGAAAAATTCAAGTAAAAGGCTAGAATATCAAGTATTCAAACGATGATGCTGGATATTACTCAGTGTCACTGTTTTCTTCTGTTCAGACAACATATATGGCAGTTTTACTCTTTGCATGGTCAATTGTATATATTCCTATGCTTTTCATCGCGCATAAATAAATTAACTTCAAAGGGGATGTAATACATTTAATGG